CATCAATGTCACTCGACTGCAGCTGGAGACAGAGATCGAGGCTCTCAAGGAGGAGCTGCTCTTCATGAAGAAGAACCACGAAGAGGAAGTAAAAGGCCTACAAGCCCAGATTGCCAGCTCTGGGTTGACCGTGGAGGTAGATGCCCCCAAATCTCAGGACCTCGCCAAGATCATGGCAGACATCTGGGCCCAATATGACGAGCTGGCTCGGAAGAACCGAGAGGCGCTAGACAAGTACTGGTCTCAGCAGATTGAGGAGAGCACCACAGTGGTCACCACACAGTCCACCGAGGTTGAAGCTGCTGAGACGACGCTCACAGAGCTGAGACGTACAGTCCAGTCCTTGGAGATTGACCTGGACTCCGTGAGAAATTTGAAGGCCAGCTTGGAGAACAGCCTGAGGGAGGTGGAGGCCCGCTACGCCCTACAGATGGAGCAGCTCAATGGGATCCTGCTGCACCTGGAGTCAGAGCTGGCACAGACCCGGGCAGAGGGACAGCGACAGGCCCAGGAGTATGAGGCCCTGCTGAACATCAAGGTCAAGCTGGAAGCTGAGATCGCCACCTACCGCCGCCTGCTGGAAGATGGCGAGGAATTCAATCTTGGTGATGCCTTGGACAGCAGCAACTCCATGCAAACCATCCAAAAGACCACCACCCGCCAGATAGTGGATGGCAAAGTGGTGTCTGAGACCAAGGACACCAAAGTTCTGAGGCATTAAGCCAGCAGAAGCAGGGTACCCTTTGGGGAGCAGGAGGCCAATAAAAAGTTCAGAGTTAAAAAAAAAAAAAACTAAACAATTGGTGATTACAGTAAATACAATTGAACACAAATTATAATTTATTATGGCAATAATCTTACTAGTTCTTTGCAACATGCAAGACAAAAAAAGGCTAGTTTCTCTGAAAACATTTATATTAAGAATTAAAACTTAGTTGTAAGTTATTGAGGGTAAGTAAATTAATTAATTAATGAGAATGCTGTATATCTGTGTACCAGTTTTTCTGCTGTAGGTAGGTTCCATGATTTCATAGTAATTTGCATTTAAATGTGTTGTTTTCTTTAATTCTTAAACTACTATTACTTTGTTATTTCAAAGAACAACATTAAAATTATTCATAGAACTTCATCTTAATTTTTCATCAGATTGCATCTATATTCACAAATTAAAATTTATTTATTTGTTGAAAATAATCAGTCTTTTAAATGTAGGTGAAATATGGAAAGCTGTGCCTTCCATATGTTCAATATATGTTAAATGACCTTTGCTAAAATAACTTGTTAAATTTATTACAGAGAACTCTTAGAATGACCATAAATATATCTTATTCTAAAGCCAATTAACTTATCAAATATGAATAATTCAATTTAGTGTAATTTAAATATTGGCAAACACTGTAATATTTTCAGAAAAACATGTAAAAATGCAGAAAAAAATCAAATTTAAATATAGTTGAGCTCAATCAAGTGGTGAAGTAATCAGTAAAGATACCACAGAATTTCATCTTTTAAAACTCTTTGGCATTAATCTAGAATGTCTTCTACTTCGCAAATAAAGATAACACCTTATTATGGTATTAAGGGAAAGGATAGAGTTCAGGTAAAATCTAAACAAAGCGGTATTTTGATAGGTACAATACATGATTGGGCTGTGTGAAAACGTAGCACATCATACCTTGGCTGAGAAGTATACTCATTAAGAAATTACAAAGTAAGCTAGTTATAGAATACTGGGTTTAGAAACTCCTTTTTTAAATCTTTAAACATGGTCTAGAAATTGACAGCTTTTCTCTGTCAAAGTGGTTCACATCCTCCATGTAACTGTATGATACTCCATTCTTACTCATTTTACTTTAAACAAATTTCTATCTGTCTATAATTTGAGAAACCAGTTTCAGTACTATGTCTTTCTTATTAATTAACAATAACAGTTTTCTCAGGTAAACACAGAACATGACCTTAAAGGAAGTTACCCAGGAATTAGGTAAGGACATCACTTGAACTCTAGAGACTTGGACTGTGCTGCCAACCTCATTTACAGCCTTTTAAAGGGGTTGAATGTTATAATTACCCTTGTGTCTCTAGAATTCACTCCTTGACCAATTTCTTTTAATAAGCAACCTCAATCAACTGTGAAAATAAATTCAAATTTGCTTAGCATGGAAAACCCAATTATCTTGGAAAGTATAATATTACTCTTATGAAAAAAAAAATGTCTTTACCATGAGAATGCTTGTAATTGGGTATAAATGATGAAAGAAATGAACACAGCCTCTTTCATTTAAACTCAAATGATCTGTTCCTGAAATTCCATGTCCTACATTAAAAGAATAACTGAGAATGTATGTCCCATTATTTCTAATAAGACCCTGTTGTAATGTATTGCCTATTAACCCAATGCCGTCTGACAATTTCTTAAAACTTAATTAAACCACAGGACATACTTAGGTATAAATAATAAACTGTCATAGTACGATAAAATGGGGAAAATTTTGTTGATCACTGAAAATATTGCTTCTTGATAACCAAAGTGCTAACATTGTAGTTAGCAATATTGTCATTAGTGCTAATATTGTGGTTAGTAGTAAGTTAACATTGTCAGCTCAACAGCTGAGAGGATATCTATTGATACTTAAAAGATGTTTTTCAATGCACATGATTCTAATTTTTACAAGTTACATTTTGTATATGACATTTATTTTGTTATGCAACTCATATTGAGTTTTGAGAATGGAATTATATATTTTTCTGATCTGGCTTAAGATGTTATCTTGAGAGAGTTATATTCTATGAAATGTGGCTATTACACACAAAATATTAGGTAAGGGTTTCACATGATCTCAAAAGAGTTGGACTGTGCTGTCAAGGAGATGTTTTGGAGATATTCTAAGGAGGACATTCATGTTACGTATTTTTTTAACTGAGGATGATTTTAAAAAAATAATTTGGCATGTTAGAATATCTAGTTGATTAGTTTCTTAATTGGAATTTACCTTTTTAATTTCTAATTTATGTATGAAACAATATTGAAAATTTAAAGAAAATCATTTATAATTTAATATATCCAATTTAGAGAAGTCATATTTTGGAAAATTTACTTTTTAGACAAACAATATATGTCCTTAACTATTTAATATAGTTTAATACATAACAAAATTTAATTAACTTAAAGAATTATTTATGGGTTGCATTTCCAAACAGAATAGTATAATTTGTTTGTAAGATAGACTCAAAAACTAATAGAAATATATTCTTAATTTTTTATATATAAAATACTTATAAGTTGAATAATAATTCCACAATACAAGTAGCCACATACATGTTTATTAAAAACAAAGGCCACCATAAAGAAAACCTAAAGCTCATATTGATGGGAATTAGGGAAAATAAATTTTTCTAGATTTTATCTAGAGATTCTAATTTTTTGAAGAAGTTTAAAATTATCTTATTAAATTAAAAACTTTGGTTCTCTTTGCCTCTCATCTGATGGCTCAAAGTTTGTTATTCCAAGGCATGATACTGACACTTTCTGTGTTCCCTGTGTTACAATCAATTGTCGAAGACTACTTTAAAATGGTGACCCAGTTTTGAAGAGGAGGTTGATACGGTTTGACTGTGTTCCTACCCAAACCTCTTCTTGAATTGTAGCTCCCATAGTCTCCATATGTTGTGGGAGGAACCTGTTGTGAGGTAATTGAATCAAAAGGACAGATTTTTCCCATGCCGTTCTCATGATAGTGAACAAGTTTCATGAGCTCTGATGGTTTTATAAAGAAGAGTATTCCTGCACATGCTGTCTTGCCTGTCACCATGTAAGACATGCCTTTGATTCTCCTTCACCTTCCACCATGATTGTGAGGCTTCTCCAGCCATGTGGAACTGTGAATCCATTAAACCTCTCTACCTTATAAATTACCCAATCTCAGGTATGTATTTATTAGGAGCATGAGAACAGACTAATGCAGAGGTGTTTTATGTAGTTATATTACAAACATAAAAGAAAAATAGTAAGAAAACGTAGCACTTTGATATGCTCAAGATACTTATTTTGGAAAATTAAGTTACTATTCATACACTATTGCTGAAACATAAAACTTAAGGGTTATATAAAACATGTACTCTTGAAGCTGATTCAGCAGGCTGGTATTAGCATAAAGTAGTTTGGATGAGAGATATTTACTAAAACCTATTTTCTACTCCTGAGCCAGCAGATGATAAGACGGCTGCTGCTGAAGCTTTATTTTTGTTTGGCTTTGTTTTGATTTTGATTTTTGAAGCTTTGTTTTTGGTCTTGCAATTGGTGAGAGTGCAAACAAAAATTGCTTTTCATCATTTGGCAGCAGCTGCTCAGCCAATTTATAACCTCTGGAAAGAGGCTTAACTTTAAGGAATCTTCCATTGTATCAGATTGTGGTAAAATATGCATTTCAATGTTTTAACACAATTAAATGAGTTTCAGTATACCAAATTAAAAAGAGAAAATATTGCTATATTGTGCACGACCTTACATGATAATAAAGTAGAATTTCTGTATGGCTTGTTAGTTAACATTCTGATTATTCAAGATTATGAATAATACATTTATTTGATTAACATAATGTTTTAAAAGATTACTTTCAACTCACTTCAAGGATTCCCAAATGCTAGTGTGAACTGTTAGTATAGAATATTGTAGAATACTTGTCCTATTCTGTAGGAGCTGGCAAATTGTTTTTGGTAAAGTTTAGATAGTAAATATTTTAGACTTTATCAACCATCTAATATCTGATGTAAGTATTTAACTCTGGTGTTGTATTGCAAAGGAAACCATAGACAATATGTAAATGTATATTCCAATAAAACTATGTACAATAATAGACAAGAGACCTGAATTAGCTTGCAGGCCACATGTTGCTGATCAGAATCTTGGAAACCAATCAGGAAGTCATTATAATAAATGTATTCTCTGACTTCCTGGAACTTCAAAATGAGATGTTTCTAAGCGTCATACTAGAAGAGCTTTACTGAATATAAAACACTTGGCCCACTCTTTTAGTAGACTTCTTAGAACTAGATTTATACTCTCTAAAGACGTTAAAAGTTGTGATAAATGTTATACAATTTCTCACATATTCTCTGTGAGAATGTTATTTTACAATTTATTTACAAGGGGAAACTCTTTTGAGAGAAAAAAAATCAGAAAAAATATCAGACAGCACTCAAAGTATAAATTAGCAAAGGCTCAGGACAACCAAATGTGTAGTTATTCTTCTTAAAGTAAATTGATCTTTTACTTAGACTACCAAAGGATTTTTTTTCTTTTTATTTAAAATCCAACCAGTTTACTAAAATATTTTAATTCTGGGTTAATTTTTCCTGGAATTCAATGTATTTTATTTTTTAAGTATGTACACTGATATTCTCTATTATTTTATAAAGTACTTTTTGAATTGTTGTTTTGAATATTTAGTTTTGGTTATCTTTTGCAGGGATTTTAATATGAATATGTTGCTGCTTCACTGAAGTCTTATGTAGCGATTGCTTTTAAAAATTTGTTTTTATCTTTTTGTGATTCATTCTGATCACAATTTTTATTATAAAGCTTACATTCTTTTTTGCACATTTTTAGCATCTATTTATCATTTTGTTCTTTGTAGTTTAGCCTTCACTTTTCAATTACTTTGTATTTTCTTCTATTTCTTTCAAAATTTAACCAGTTCTACCAGGTTCAACATTTCTTTAGCCACAGTCTTATGTTATCTATGTTATCTGGCCATATTTTCTGTATGCTTGTGGAATTTCCT